TGGGACGCCAAATGAACACCAATGCAAAATTCGATTTCCAAATAAGAATCGACCAACGCCAATGATGCCAACAGCCAACAAAACGAATTCAGTGCTCGAATCACTCCCTTGACTTGCTTTAACGAAAGCTTGACTTGTAGTCTTGAAAATGAAAGCCTCACATCTGGCAGTCAGACAAATTAGCCGGCAAATCATGAAAAAAATGCTATTGCTTTGTCTCTGCTGCACTTCTGCCCATTTTGTGCACAGGTGGCAAAAAATACGCACAATGCCATGCGGAAGACACAGACAGAACAGTTCTTCGCGTTTCATACAGTAGCATGGCACGCAACAATCATGACGTGTTTTGGCCTTATGATCGTTTTCGCAACAGTTTCCAGAAAAAAATCAAAATCGTGACGTGTTTTGCGCCAAAAAAAAGTTTTATACTTCTTTTTGGGCGCACTCGGTTTCTTTACGCCAAGTTGGTTCTTGACACCGTGTTTAAGTTGCCAAGTTGTTTTCAGATTGACGGCTCGAACGTCATCTTGGAGCAGTATGGGCCCCATGCCTTCAGGCGCAGGGGGGCTTAAGCCCCCCTTCAAGCCCCCTTAAGACCCTCTTAAGGGGGAGGACCCTTAAGCCCCCCCTTAAGCCCCCCTTGAAGGGTCTTCGAGGGGGGCTTAAGAGTGACTCCCTTAAGGAGGGCTTGAAGGGGCTTGAAGGGGGCTTCAAGGGTGCTTCAAGGGACTTGAAGGGGAACTTGAAGGGAACTTGAAGGGGGGAGCTTGAAGGCAGCTTCAAGGGAGAGCTGAAGGTCAGCTTAATTTAATTCAAAAGAAAAAGCAAGTGTCTGAAGCCATCTCTTCGGCGTCAGAAGGACGGTCTCCGCCCTTTCCATCGAATTTATGGAAGCTTTTGGACAAGAGCAGTTTGTAATTGTCAAAGTTTGAATTCTCGCGTCTCTCTCTAGGGAGGGTGTTGTCAGCTCCCACTCTGTGACAGCTACAGGCCCATGTTCGAGACATAGCTCAGAATTCCGTACTTTTGAGCACTGACGATTCACAGGCCTACGGCCCGCTGCTCGCACGATCGTAGGGGCTCTAAACTC